TTCCCACAACCTTAGAGAGGGTTAAATGTAGAATTTTATAACAAAATGCATCAACTTTCGATGATTAAAACAAATTTAGGGTCAAATATTTTTAAATGCATCAGAACTAATTTAATGGTGGAGTGAGACACCGCTTAGCTCCACCCGCACTGTCAACTAGAGTTGTCATAGGTTATGGATATACGGATCATCAATCAAACGAGAACTGTATTTAAACATTATAAATAGAAAATTTCAATTTGGTAATGACATAATGCAAAAAGCATATAAACCCTCGAAGGGAGTGCCGGATTAAGATAGCATGTGACATCAAATCAAGAAATCTAATACTCAAAATTGAACAGTGAGGGGAACGATCTGAAAACAACGACCATATGCCAGAAAGAACGTCACGCAACAAATTGATGTCGTATGAAGAATCTCACGCAATGTAAATGGCTTCCTGTCATATTCCTTCCGAGACAGCGTGTAACATCAGCTTCTGGAACAGGGGTGGCGCCAGAGGGGGGACCGGGGAAGCTGTGCCCCCCCCCATCGGGGAAAAAATTTGTATCCCCTCGGGGAAAATATTTGTACGGGGTATTCAACTGTAGTTGATAAATAATAATCTGGCGAAAATTTGAGACCAATTTCATTACACTCGTGCCCCCTGTCGGGCAAACTCTAGCGCCGTTCCTGTTCTGGAAGCTAGATGCGTTAAATGAAAGTGAAAATAGCCTTCAACATTTGTTCTGCATTGAAAATTGACGTATTGCATAATACAAGTACATAAAAATTTTAGATAGAGGCGATACGATAATGTGCTAAGTACTATAGAGAGAGAGATTTGTATTCTAATGAAATTTTCCATGATAACTTCGTTTCAATGACGAATACTGGAACAACATAGCTATACAGAAAACCCAAACTTTTTTAAAAGATAAGTTTTAGAAAAGAAAAAAAAAATGGAATCGCCCCAAAAGAACTGGCCAATAAAAGCGTCAAACACATTTTTTTATTCCTTTCCAAGCAGGTTCATTTCCAGTTCTTGCCTACCAGTCAGCTTTTTTAAATCAATTCACACTCTGTCTTTTTTTTCGTGTTCAATTGTATCTGAATTTAAACAGACTTATATAAAAACTCCAAGAAAAAAAATTTTTTTTTGTATGAAAGGCTAATTTAGCACTTTATATACCTTTAAGTTTATACTTAAATATATAGCTACTTTGATTCAAATACGAATTTAAGAGGACACTTAAGATGCTATAGTCTTCTACACGATTTTTGTCTCTTAAATTTGTGATCTTTAATGACTCGTAGTTCTCAAACTCAAAAATTCTGATTTTTGATTCACGAGTTTGACTTCGGAATGTTTTAAGGAGATTACCTTGAAAAGATGTCAAAGTATGTAAACTATTTATATACAAAAACAGAAAATAAAAAAAAACATTCTAAAAGATAAAACGACGCTTTACTATTTTTTTTTACTCGACATGGAACGGTTCAAGGCAACAAAACGGAATTCTGCAAAATACTAAAACGATGGCAGTGCCGTCACATCTCAACAGAATCGATCTCCACTCAACAATCCTGGAAAAGGTCATTAATAATTAAAGTTCAATAAACTAAACTTCTGCAAAGGAGAAGAAAAAATCCTAGGTCAAACCTACCGAACGAGGCGACTCGTGATTTCACCGGAAGAAAAATTCTATTCCCCCTTCAACCCTGCTTGAAAACGGAAGCCACGGAAAGTCAACAGCGTGAACCGTCCATCTCGACTCGCTAATAGCCAATGGGGTCAAAGAGCAAGGTCCCTGTCAGCAGGGCGGGCTGCGGGACCCGCAAAGCGTCAATACCTGCCAGGCACACCTGCGCCCGATCATTAGACAGCCTATCAGACGCCCACGATTCAAGCACGAGGAGCACCTGCTTGCCTGCTTTATTGACAACTTCCTAGTCCGATGACGAACATACAATGAGTATAGCTTTCAATAAGATTCAATTCCTTTTTTTTAGCAATCGGTTTATCAAACTAAGCTGCTTGTGTGCAATACTGTAAGTGCCATATGCCTAGCATATTTTTAAATGAAACGCAGCAAAAGGATGAAAGCTATTTGGATTTGTTTTCCTTAATTTGGCCACACCAATGCAATGGGGGATGACGGCTCACGATTGCAATGTTCAAATCCAATAACATGTGTAATTACAGTTATTGGATTTAAACAGCACAAAAATTGCAACAGGATATTGACAGCGATCGGAATGCTACCTTCGCACAAAAGGCAAACAGAGACAGTAATCTTTTAAATCAAATTAAAGAGAAGAATATGCAAGAAATGATTATAAGACGCCAACAATCAAAACCTATCGGGGTTGAATGGAGCCTCAAACAGGAAATTCTTTAATTCAAACAGTCACAAAGAGTGACAGATTAACAAATGAATGCAAACAAATGGTGACAAAATAAGCATAGACAATTCATGAGATAGGATTAAAAAATAAACTGTTTGCAGACTTCACATTTATACCTGTTGGCAACGTGGGAAAAAAAGAGAGGTACGATAGCTTATTAAATAATAATGTATCACATAAAAACTCAAATTAAATTCATCAACAGTATATAGTTTTTTGAAAAATCATGGAGGGTTACAATCACGGAGCAGAATGATTCACACAAGAACTCCACAGTGCAAAAAGAATAAAATAATAATAATGGGAAACAAAATTCAGGAACCCCAAGTTAGAAATGCGAATCAGAAGTCAAGGAATCTTCATCCCCATTCTCAGAGACAGGTATTTTTGACACTCAACTTATGCGAGTGAAAAAACAATGTAAACTTGGCCAAATCGGCCATTAGTTATCAACAATATGTATTAATCGATTTTAATGCTTAGATGGAGTGGGTTTTTTTTTTTTAAATATCTTATCAGTATCCATGACTGAAGTAGAAACCAAGTTAAAACCAAAGTTAATCTGCACTGTTGGTAAACTATCGAAGAAAGCTGTAACACGTTCTTTATTATGTCTCACACCGCTAACATTACAAATCATTCAAATATGTAGCTAAATGCGCTCACGATTTTAAATGTGAAATGACAAATGTGAATTCTACAAACAAAAATAACGATTGGAACTCGTTTTTTGAACACACACCATACCTCATAATTGTAGTGGCGCGATTCTGGATAGTTCATTTGAAAAGGATGATTTAAAAAAAATGACGACTTTTTATGTTACATGTGTAGAATCCACTGAAAAATTAACGATTGTTTCAAATATAACATTAAACAATTCGCTATGCTAAAATTAAGATATTTTTACGCTACCCCCATTTACAATTTTCTTCTTCTTTTCTGGTCAGTATGAATAAAAAGAATCGCAAGTGCACAGCAGTAAACACAGATGTCATTGCATCCACACAAAAAAAAGGAAACAGAATGCATACACAAAATCAGCAAGTCTGTGAAATCCGCAAAACGTGTTAAATCAACCACTCGCATCTGAACACCGAAACTCCACAACAGCCAAAAAAGAAATCTCGACACCGCATATCCCAAATGGCGAAAGCACGCACGACATGAAACAAAATAACCAAAAGATAACCATTCCAGATCCACACAATTCATGCCGAGGCATGGGGTTGGCATCGAATTGCGAAGAATAGAAGAGTCGAGCGAGCACCTGCATCCCCCCTCCGCCACTGAAGACACGCTCGGCTTCCAGCCCTCGCATGCGGGGGCGCGCAGGGCGGGGCTAAACGGCGAATGGCGTGATTTCGCGGCTCTGTGAATCCGGCGCAGGTATCGATAGCCATCAAGGAAGGAGGCTATTTACGCAGACGGTGCGTGCATTCGCTTAAAAATAAACCTGCTAGTAAACAGATAGGGTGTTAGATTGCGTTAGGTTAAATTAAAACGAGTTCTCTAAAACAAAGGACTTTTGAGGATGATACAGAATTTACCCTGAAGAGAACAGCGGATAAAAGTTTGCACGAATATATATAGCATGATGAAAAAAAAAAACATTTTAAAGCTCGATAGCAATAAAGAGAAATAATGACTTAGCTCGTTAATCTTATTGTTAAGAAACTGCTCCATATTTCTCCCATCGTGCACTTCAATGGATTCATACAGGCATGCTGCAACGATAACGAACTGGCGAAGTTTGCGTACTAATCAAAAGATATTTAATCCCTTAAGTCTCGCGCACGTCATATTGACGTGCATCGAATTACAGCATTTTTAAGCTTAATATAAACTAAAATTTAATCATTAATTAGCTTTATAATTTGACAAGAATTACGTCGAATCCATAAGCATCTCAAGTATTCCATGCCTTCTTAGATGAATGAAAACGACAGCACGTCTCCAAAACAGGGGAAGTTATCTTATTAAGATAGAAAAAAAAAATGCGATCCTAAAGAGGTGAAACACTTGCTAACAATGCTTACTACTCAAGTCTAATGGATCTTGATTACAACCGTAATCTGTTAAAAGTCTAGTTATATTAACGTCCCGTTTTGAAGCGGGCTATTTTGGGACGGACCTCGTGATATTGAACCTCAGTCAGATGACGAGGACGACACCTGAGCCCCTCTTCAAAATTTCTCACCCACCGGGAAGACTTTTGACTCATTACGTATGATTTAAAGTGTAACATACACCCACATACACGGCGGATCTTCAGTGGAATCGGGTTTCGAACCTGGAACCCTCTGGCCCCGAATAGGCCTCACCACTAGGCCGCAGCGGCCCGTAATTTGGTAATAAGTGAACTTCATATATTGTACTCGTCGGATATTAGAGCCCATGCCTATTTTTCTTTGTACAAAACTTATTTTAGTTGTATTAACGCCCCGTTTTAAAGCAACGCGAAGGTCATTTTAAGGCGGACGTTGTAATTTTGAACAGCGGTAGGATGATGACGACACTTGCGTCAGCATCTCCTCTCTAAGCTCCCGCGTCATTCCGTTGCCCTTGACACTCGACGTCAGATCAGACGACTTCACACACAGGGGATCTTTGGTAGAATCAGGATTCGAACCTGTGACTCTCCGGTCCCGAAGCAGAGCTCTCACCACCAGGACACCACGAAACCCCTTCTCTGTACTAAAAGTAACGCATTAACAGAATTTCTTTTTAATACAAAGAAAAAAAGGCTGCACTGCATATCAGATTTTATTTAGTGCTACTCATTAGTCTCCTTCACTTTCTGCAACAATTTAAAGTGATGTGAATTCATGCTCACGTGATACTTGTCAAATGCGCCTCAGCAATTTTGGACCCTTAGCGCATGCCGCAGTTGGAGAAAACATTACGTCACAGCTCTGCCTAAGACGACGAGCGGTTAGATGTTAAATGACATGTACATTGTAAAGTCACATTTGTCATTGCAACTCCACACGGATCGACACTACTTATCAATATCCTACGGTTAAGCCTGACACACAGAGGTCGATAAACCTGATCACAGATTTGATGAGCACCAACTCCACGTACACAGAGGATTTTGGTAGGAACAAGATGCGTAATCCACGGATTTAACGGACGGTTTAGGTAACTACTGATCCACGTCTCGTTCAACACAAGATACCTTTCAGCAAAGGATTCCGAGATTACCATTTTTAGACGATTTTACACCGGAAAGGGATGGCGGGCAATGAGTCATATGAGCGTATTTCCGGAGTTCTTCGTTAGATCACGCTAAGGAAAATGTAAACATCACCCTCCCATTCTTCACTTTCCCCCTATTTTGATGAAAATAACTCCGCCTGGCGCATGCGCAATAGCGCGGATGATTTCCGAATCCGTTGCTAAACAATATCTGAGGGCGCCATGCCAAGAACTCCCATGTGGACAAGAAATTCAAACTTGACTGGGCTAATATGCTCCAAGATTAGGTTATCCCAAGAATGAAGAGGAAATATTTAAATTATACGAAATAACTTCAACCGCTGTGTTTTTTAATGGGAAAAAAAACGCAAACGTTTAGATTATCATAATTTAACATTTTACTCGTTTTTCTTTTCACGTCTTGACGGATATCAAAATTCTGCCCCTGCCTTCGCAGGTATGATTTTATCTCATTTCGAATTTAGAAGCCTCTAATTCGTTTTTCCATATCTGCAAAATTAAATTTCTTTTTAGTTCATTATTAACAAGAATTTTATTTTCTAAGAGCAATTTATAATCTCAGCATGTCTCATTCACAAAATATGTTTTTTGCTGTTAAAATAAATTCGCTGCCAAAACTTAATAGAATGCTATATAATGTACAAAAATTTGTGTCTTCATTTAGAGCTCATCGTGTGCATACACAATTTATATCTAGGAAAACCAAGCAGTGAACCTGTTCCTCTCCCGATAGAGCTACAATTTCAAGAAACTTCAGTTTTAAATTCGTACAGCATAAAATTCATTTTCGAAGAATGATCCTTTTCAAACAGACTAATCTTTAATGAAATTTTAATATCAGGTATTAAAATATTTCAAAAGACAGAACAATGCTTGGTCGGGCATAAAACAAAACATGCAAGCTATAGCAACGTATGGGAAAAGACAGAAAAAATTATTCCATAGACGCAACGCTAGGAAAGACAATGAAAATTGTTTTGCGCTTCTAGAATACTCTAGTAAAAGTTGGGCTCGTCACTTATCGAGCAATAAAACGCGGAACAAATACACGGGATCTTTCAAGACGTTTCAAACAACAACAAAAAAACCCGCATTACAATGTGTTTAGAATATCCGTAAAGTTTTTTAATGAATTGCGTTTTTTACGATTCTTTTATTCTGAGAAAGCAATGAAACTTTTTCTTCATTATAATGCAACTCTGTAAAAAGAAAAAAGGACAACTTACAAAGTGTAATTTTAGATTCAATATTTTATTCTCTCTTCTTTTAAGCATTTCGTTTTAAAATAAAGTTTCTTACAGTTTTATACTTCGAAAACTGATGACGATTTGAAACTGTGGATTTAGAATCGAAGCAACAAAAACGATTTCCTAACATTTCTGCAAAAAATCAACCCTTTCGCTCCGTCATGGTGAAGGGAGACTGCTCGCACATAACTCTGATCGTCCAGACATCACAGCAAAAGGGGTTAATCTTTAAAACTGACATCTGCAAAGATATTTAACCCTTAATTATCTATAAGACTCCATGAATAAGAATAGAAACACCAACAGTTTAGTTATATTAACCCTCTGAGCGCCCAATTATATTGGGCATTTAGCTATTAGGTTAGAAAACTTTTAAAGTAAATAAATCGATGTTTTTTTTTTGTATTTAATTATATATCTGAAGTCTTAAGGATATTTTATCCATGATTGTTTAAGAAAATATAAATACGAGCTAACTGCTTTTGAACTGAACATGAAAAACGGAAAAAGTCGTTTGCGCCACTCGGAGGGTTGATAACTCTCGTATAACTTCAAAAGGGAACATTTTGGGATGGCCCTCATAAGTCAGATGACAAGGACAATACCCGAGCCCGCACCTGACTCTCCGAACTTCCATACCACACCAACACGAGGACGTCTGACCAATGACGGCTGTTTAACACATTCGCTACCACTATTCATGCCTAAGATTCGAAACCATCTATCTAATTAGAGGACCCCTTCTCTGCCATCTCTTGACTATCGTCGAGAAGGGGTCGTCTAATTAGATAATAGGTTCTGGACGCGCCAGTGCGTCGATGGCAGTGAATGTGTTAAACGTGCACCAGGCTCACATACGCGGCGGATCACCAATGGAATCGAGTCTCGAACCTGCAGTTCTCCGATCCCGAAGCCGAGACCTCACCACTAGGCCTATCAGACGCCAGTGGCAAAATACCACCGATGCAAAAGCCAGTACGCAAATTTCTATAAGAATATCTATTTATAGAAATGCTGATTCTTTACTGTTGTGAGGAAGGAAACTGTTTTACTAAAAATTACCTTTTACCCCTTATCTTGCGTAATATTTTGATACATTTTCTTTTTATATACAGTGTTCGATTTTTTTTTTTTTTTTTCAAAATAAATATTCAGTACATTATCAGTTTGCTTTCTAACCAAATGATCAGTTATACGATCCAACCGACGACTGGGACTCATTTGTCTAGCAACATTAAAATTGCGATCCTATTTCAATTTAAAATACGACCAAGCTCTATAAAGACTAAATAAGATACACTGTAATGAAAAACTCGAACTAAAAAAAGATAAAAATGGCGGTCTGAGGTTTTAAAGTAGAAAGAAAGTGGCGCAGTTTTCTTTCAACTCATCGTGTCAGTCAGTGAACTCCAATGAAACAAAACAAAGTAAAATAATAATAACTTTTTAAAAAACCCAATTCGATGATGATTACCAATGCAGTGAAAATGCATTATCGTTATGCATTATGTATTTTGATTACACAGTATTTTAACTACCACAAGAAAAGTTTAAATGTTCCCATTCTGGATATTTAATATTTGCTTTCATAACAAAAATAGATTCACCTGTTAATGATTATTCATGCCTATCTCAAAATGCAGCACAATGAAACGCTTTCCTTCTCAAGTAACAAAACATTTAACTATATCTACCTACATCTGAAGAAAGTTAACGAAAAATCTATTGTTTCCGTGAAGAAGAAAAATCTAAAGTAGGCCATGCCATACCAATCCATATTATGGAGAGGGTGGGAAAAGGGCAAAGAAAACCTATGTTATTAACATTCTTGTGCCCCAGTTAAATTCGCTTCGGAACCCATTACTTGTCTTCAAGTTGTTTTTCTTACACAGACATATAAAATGCAGCGAAACCACCTTTAAAGAACTGCAATTATAGTGAAATGAAGTTGGGTCACCGCCAACGGCTAGGTCTGTAATGCCAATAAGAAGTACACATATTATTTCTATTTCAATAACAGGTTGCTAGAAATAAGAATGTTGAAACCACATTTATTTATTTTTGACACTTTTTATTTTTACTCATTAATTGTATTTATTTACTTTCAATGAATGGACAAACTTAACCTATATTATTGGCATTATTTCAAATTTTAAAAAAAATGCAAATAAAAAAAATACGCTTATCTCGGCGCTACTCACTCTCCACATACAAATAATTTTAAATTTATTTTAGTTCATAGAGACGCTGAAAGTAATCGGATAAAAAAATCAATAAACTTTAAGCAATCCCATAAACGTAGAATAATAAAAAGATGCAAGGCTAATAATCCTTTTTAACCCTGTCATACTTTAAAGTTGATTTTACTTTCTTAATTATATCATTTTCTTCTTTCACATAATTATAGAGTTGGGCGCAAATCATATTAAAATTATAATGACAAATCAAAATTGCTTCAGTTGTCTCCACTGACAACCTGTTTCTTTCGTCCGACCATTGAGTTGACGGTAGGAAAAATATTTTCTCCACATCTGCATTGTGGGCTAGAATGGCAAATACGTATTCGCGTAGCTTTATTAGACACGACTTCTGATCAATATACTTTGTATCTGCAAAAAAAAACTTGAGCCATTTCTCCTCCATACTCAATTTCATAGTTGCTTCACAGTTTTGGTTGGTATTATTTTTCTCTAGATTATCTTTCAGATATACATACTGGTTGAATAGAATATCAATGTTGCCAATATCGATGTTTCTTACTTGTAAATATGCAATAGTACGTTCTATCACTTCCCGTTCAGGAACTCGGTTGAGTTTAGGGAGAAAACGGGACAAATAGTAATATGGGACCGAGTAGTGAAATAACGGTGACAGTCCCGTATATACGGGACACACGGCAACCCTGACCATACCCCTACCGATTATTCACTCGACGCAAGCGCCTCGCCCCTGGTGTTCCTTTTCCCATCCCCATCAACGAGATCTTTTCAGCGAAGTATTTCTCATCCAGAGTTCCCAATGCATTTCATTTTTTTAAAGACCCGACCACACACTAACTGAAGGCTGTCGCACCAAACAGAATTAAAATGTCGCGCTGAATGCGAAGAAGAGAGGCGCCGCGGTTAATGGCCGGAAGTCGCTTGATTAGAAGAAGCGCCGAGTCTTCCAAGTTCGTTAGGACTGGAACAGTGGGGCACGCCCTGCAGCACAATGG